CGTTCCACCCAGGAGGTGGCAGCTGCTTATGGGGTTGCCTCGAGAATCCGTCGGAGGAGAAAAACAATGCAGATCCACCGTGTTCCTCCTCCTCTCCGCGAGGAGGGAGAAAGACAATGCGAGGAGGAGGGGAGAGCGAGGAGGACGGAGATGAACTTGTATAATTACTCGACTCATTCTTGCCCTTTTGGCAAGGGCGACAACCTCCCAGGGAGTGAGGGAAGGAGGAGGATGAGCATGAGGAGGGGGAGTAAGAGAAGGACCAGGGATGAGGAGAAGGAGAGTCATAGAGTAGGAGCAGGGGGAGGGGGATGGAGGATGGGGATGGAGGAGCAGGAGGAGCAGGAGGAGGAGGAGGAGGAGGAAGGACGAGGAGGAGATGGAGGAGGAGGAGGAGGAGGAGGAGGAGGAGGAGGAGGAGGAGGAGGGGGCGTGTTGGGGTGGGGGGGATGATGATGATGATGATGATGATGATGATGATGATGATGATGATGATGATGATGATGATGATGATGATGATGATGATGATGATGATGATGATGATGATGATGATGATGATGATGATGATGATGATGATGTGATGAGATGATGCTGTGATGCTGATGCTGATGCTGATGATGATGATGTTGAGATGGTGACTGATGCTGATGCTGATGCTGATGCTGATGCTGATGCTGATGCTGATGCTGATGCTGATACTGATACTGATACTGATACTGATACTGATACTGATACTGATGATGATGATGATGATGATGATGATGATGATGTTGATGTTGATGTGATGCTGATGATGACGATGATGATGATGATGATGATGATGATGATGATGATGATGATGATGATGATGATGATGATGATGATGATGATGATGATGATGATGATGATGATGATGATGATGATGATGATGATGATGATGATGATGATGATGATGATGATGATGATGTGATGATGGCGAGAGCCCCGTTTCGAAAATGAACCGCCGTCAATCCATGTAACTGTTGCAGTCTTGAACGCCGAATGCGCGCGGCGCTAAGGCGAGAGCCCGATTTTGAAAATTACCTGCGCCCCCATCTTAGAGACGGTTGAAAGTTCGAAGACGACTGTGCGCGGGGCTAGGGCACAAGCCCAATTTTGGAAGCCCCCTGTGCTACATTCTTGTAGCTGTTGCGAGTGTCAAGCATCAGGAGCACAATTGGTGAGGACGTCTCACGCGAAACGCCCAGCCCACCCTGCCGACACGTTCGGGGACGCGACAGCGAATCGGCTACACGTAAGAGTGACCCTTCGCCGGAGTGACCTTTGGTGCGGGCTCGTCGGGGCCCCCCCGGATCGCTGAGCGCGATGCGATAGCAGCGGCCTGCGCGCTTGGGTTTGGCCCCCTCGCGCCCCCCCCCAAAAGCCGCGCACCGAAGGTCGCTCTTGCCCAGGGCCGCTCTTGCCCGTGGCCGAGGGCGAGCTGCTCGTGGGCAAGAGGAGAGGCGCTGGCCAGCGGGGGAGAGGGGGCGCGCCGGGCGCAGGAGCGCGCCCGCGCACGCCTCCTCCGCGCAGCGGACGCGTCGTGATTGGGGGGGGCGATCGGGGGTCGAGGTGCATCGAGGGGAGGAGGGGGGGGAGGGAGAGGAGGGGGAGAAGGAGGGGGAGGAGGAGGAGGAAGGAGGAGGGGTGGACCGAGGGGAGGAGGGGAAGGAGGGAGAGGAGGAGGGGGAGGAGGGGGAGGAGGAGGGAGGAGGAGGGGTGGACCGAGGGGAGGAGGGGAGGGACGGGGGAGGAGGGGGGCCCTCCCGCCCTCCTGGCAGGGGCGACTACACCCCGCCGCTCGACGTGCCAGTGGCCGCCCGGGAGCTCGTCCGCGAGCTGCTGGCGCCGCGGCCGGCCCTGCGCCTAGGCCCGCCCTCTGCCGCGGCTCGGCCGCGCCGGGAGATACCCCTTGCCAGTGCCGGCTGGTGGAGGGGGGCCCCTGGCTCATCAAGCAGTGGCGGAGCGTCCTGGCTCGCCTATAGTCCTACCAAGCAATGCTCTCAGAACCCTGTGTGGTTTCCGCGAAATGTTCTTGGCACATGTCTGATTAAGACTGCCTTTGTTTAACACATCGGGTTAATGTTCTAAGAACATTGTTTTTGATATCAGAGCACTTTCGGGTTCGAAAAACATGTCGTGGTAGGCCTGTAGAACTGCCGGGATGGTCGGCCCCTGCTCAACAGGAGCGAAGGAAGGACGGTCACGTGCACGAGTCCACGTTGGTTTCGAGAGTGCGTACTGCGCGAGCGTTCGTATCACGCAGCTGGTCTCGCGGATGAGGGGGCCGTGCTCATGTGCGTGGTTGGGCGCGTACGTCTTTTGTGGGCCCCCTGTCTACCCCTCCCTCCTTCCCCTTTCGCTTCGAACAGGAACGAACAGGATAAGCATAATTCAATGTTTGGAGGTCCGCGCGGATTTCTTGGAACTTCGCTGCACCCCCCTCCCTGGCGCGCGAAGCGCGCCAGGGACGGCGCCGGAGGTGCCGCCAGGGGGCCCAGCGCAGATCCACGAAACCCGCGCGGAGCTGCAAATATGTATACACTGTTTTTTGTTCCTCCACTCTCCCGCTTCCCTCCTCCCTCCACCCGTCTCCTCCCTCCTCACTCCTCCTGTCTCCTCCCGTCTCCTCCTTCGCCTCCTCCTCCTCCTCCTCCTCCTCCTCCTCCTCCTCTTCCTCCTCCTCCTCCTCCTCCTCCTCCTCCTCCTCCTCCCAGCACGCTTCCGCGCGTGCGGCAGCGCACGCGAGAGGAGGAGGAGGAGGAGGAGGAGGAGGAGGAGGAGGAGGAGGAGGAGGAGGAGGAGGAGGAGGAGGAGGAGGAGGAGGAGGAGGAGGAGGAGGAGGAGGAGGAGGAGGAGGAGGAGGAAGGAGGAGGAGGAGGAGGAGGAGGAGGAGGAGGAGGAGGAGGAGGAGGAGGAGGAGGAGGAGGAGGAGGAGGAGGGAGGAGGAGGAGGAGGGAGGAGGAGGAGGAGGAGGAGGAGGAGGAGGAGGAGGAGGAGGAGGAGGAGGGGAGGAGGAGGAGGAGGAGGAGGAGCAGGAGCAGGAGGAGGAGAGGAGGAGGAGGAGGAGGAGGAGGAGGAGGAGGAGGAGGAGGAGGAGGAGGAGGAGGAGGAGGAGGAGCGGAGGAGGAGGAGGAGGAGGAGGAGGAGGAGGAGAGGAGGAGAGGAGGAGGAGGAGGAGGAGGAGGAGGAGGAGGAGGAGGAGGAGGAGGAGGAGGCAGGAGCAGGAGCAGGAGCAGGAACAGGAGCAGGAGCAGGTGCAGCAGCAGGAGAGGGGCAGCAGGAAGGGCAGAGGAGGAGGGGCAGAGGAGGAGGAGGCGGAGGAGGAGGAGGAGGAGGAGGGAGGGAGGGAGGGAGGGCGGAGGAAGGGTGGGAGGGAGGGAGGGAGGGAAGAAGGAGGGGGAGCAGGATGAGGAGGGGTATCTACTGTTTTCGCTTTTACGTTATCATGATGGTCAGCAGCGCTTTTGGCCTACGACAGATGGAGCAAGTCCCAATCATTTGGCCACTTGACTGCCCACACCGAGGCAACATCCGACGCACGTTCCACGTATGATAGCACATGGGGTCGAGTCGTTGCACGCATCAAAACACATGCGAGGAATATTAGAGCTCCGCCATAGCGATACGACCGCGCTCCCCTGAGGATAGATGAGAAAGGAGAAGCCACATATGAAGGAGTACACTCTGTCAGTAAGTGGCGCAGATGTCCGCATCCGCGGCTCAGTGACGCGACGGCATGCTACATATCAAGAGGCGTATTTGATTGGGATCTGGGCCCTCTTGTGAAAATCGGCTACGGGGTCGGCAGGGCAGGACAAATACCAAGCTCGTTTAGTCGTCTCCGAAATTACGTATTACGCAACACGGTTCCACGTGTGAGCACGCCGCGTTTTTTTTCGAATGCGTACAACCCAGGAGAGAAGTGTCGTTCGCAGTAGTCCCGTGTTGGGCGCAGAAAGATGTATGCCTCTCATGCGCGGCAGGTGCTACGTCGGATGTTGCAGCATGTCCACATCCAGCGGTCTACATTGTGAAGTCCTTACGGACGGTGCCGCCGGCGGCCGCCGGGGCCCCCTCACGGGACCCCGGGGCCGGGGTCCGGGAGCTCGGGGCCGGGGTCCGGGGCTTGGGCCGGGGCCGGCCCCTTCCGACAGGGGGAAGCCATCCCCGTCCCCGCTGTCCTGCAGGTGGGACCCAGGACCCCTGGGGGGCGGTAAAAATGAAGGACATCGATTTCACTACAACGTTTCTTGCCTCTGTTCGTTGCTCGATTTTCGTGGAACTGGCGGCGACGACGACGACGACGACGACGTTGACGACGACGACACCGTCGCGACGACGACGGAGAAGAAGAAGAAGAAGAAGAAGAAGACGACAGCGTCTCACAGACGCCGAAGGGTCGCGGATTTCATGCGTATCACTATTTCATGCGTATCTCTTTCTGCAGCTCATAGTTGGGTGTTGTGTGAGGGCGTGTCAGCCTGCATATTGTGCAGCCCCAGAAGTTTGCCAAATTCTGGTGCGGCGCATCTCGTGACATTCAGGGCCGACGCGCGCCTGAAGACGCCCGACGGGCAAGGCGCGGGGGCCAGGGGCGGAGGCGGCGTCGGGGCTGGGGCGGATTCGGCGCCCTACCCTGGTTTGCCTCAGAGGCCCGGTACGGCGGGCGCCAGAATCGGCTTTCGGTTCTCAGGTTGAAAGCCGAACATTTTACGGACCCGTAAACGAGCAAAACCTTGAAAGCTTCCTCCCAAAAGCTGGTCGGGCTTGCTCCCATGACGGCCCGAAAGGTTGACCTTACCCACTTCGGCTCAGGTGTTTCTGGCAGCGCCGATACCCGCCCGCCGCAGGCGCGTGACGCCCTGCGCTGACGAGCCCAAAGTGTGGTGAGCCAGCGCTCGGGGCGCACACGCGTGTGCGCCCAGCAGGGGGCACTTCTTCTTCCGAGGGCCGCGTGCCGGCGCCGACCGCGGCCCGCCATGGCGATGCCAGGGCCCATGCTGGGACCGGGCGGGCCTCCCGTGCAGAGGGTGCAGCCCCAGGCTTTTGGCGGCGGCGGCGGGTACGCGCCCCTGCCAGCAGCAGGAGGTGCTGTTCACCCGGGGCCTCCGCATCTTGAGCCGTACGGGGGCGCGGGGCTGCACGAGTTTGAGCGCATTTTCTTCGAGCCCGAAGGGGAGCAGAAGCACACGAAGTGGGTCTACGTCGGCCAGGGTCAGGGCCAGTACGCGCAGCAGGACTACAGGTACGTGGGGGAGGGCGCTGGCGACTACCACAAGGAGGAGGTGGTGATCCCGCACGGGCGAAAGCTGCGGCAGGAGTGCTTGTGGTGCGTCGCCGCGCTGTGCTGCGCCATCTTCTCCACCATTCTCCTCATCGCTAGCAGCCGCGCCTTCTCCAGCGGTGGCCCCGCCGAGAAGCCTGCGGTGCTGCTGCCCCCTCAGCTGCAGGTGACCTGCAGGGAGCTCCTGCTCTGGCCGGACCGCGACCAGGCGGCCGCGGAGGTGGTCTGCGGCAACTGCCAGGCTCTGGTGGTGAAGACCAACTTCCACAGCTGCAGTGCGTACTGCCACTCGTTCGGGCAGCAGTGCTTCTACGCCGCCCAGGACAAGGTCGACGCAAGCGGGCATCACTCGGACGGGTGCCAGGTGGAGTCCGAGCTGGAGTGCGATGGCTTCCAGCCCGGTGACGGCGACATGATCTGCGGTTGCAAAGACCCCGACGCCGCCCTGGCGGCGGCAGGCGCGGACGACGAGGTCGTCGGTGACAGGCCCATGACGGACGAGGAGAGGGACGAGCTCTGCAGCGAGGATGGCGCCGATTGCTCGGAGGCCATGTGCTGCAAGACGGCGGGGCTCAAGTGCTTCAGGAAGGACGAGTACTGGTCCGAGTGCCTGGAGGCCTGCGAGCAGGGAGTGCACGTCTCGGACGAGCCGCAGTACCGGACACCGTGGAAGTGCGAGGACATCGACCGCAGTGGCCAGGAGGGCTCGGCCCTGTGGAACCGCTGGCATAACGCCGCCAATGCCGTGGGCTCTGCTGCAGGGGCAACGTTCGACGCGGCCATGACGCACGGGTCCAACGCGGTGGACGCCACCGTCGACGCAGTGGACAGCGCGGGCCAGCGCATACACGAGGCGAAGAATGCCGCCAGCAGCGTTTTCGACATCACCGCAAGCGACATCAGTGACAGCATCGGCCACCAGGTAAAGAAGGCGAAGAATGCTGCGAAGAACGCTTCTGGCGAGATGCTGAACAGCGCCGGCCACCTCGTGAACAAGGCCAAGGATGCCACTGTCCACCACGCAGAGAAAGCAAAGGACGCTTCTGGCGACATGCTGATCAGCGCTGGCCACCTCGTGAAAGGGAACAACGATGCCGCCACCAGCGCGGCAGAAGACGCCAGCCACGAGGCCAATGACGACAACCAGTCGAGTGCCGCGGCAGACTCTGGCAAGCAGATCGGAGGCCAGGCGGCGGAGGCCGTCGAAGGCGCCAACGACTCGGTCGCCGGCGAGCCCGGCAGCGCCACGACGGACCCCGCCGAGGCGCAGGACACGGGGTGCTCCAGGCTGGGCGAGAACTGCAAGGGCATCGGGTGCTGCGCTGACCAGAACTTCACCTGCTTCGAGCACGGCAGCTACTGGGCCGAGTGCCTGCCAGAGTGCCAGCCGGGCGTCCACGAGTCGGACGCGCCCCAGTTCCGGTCGCCCTGGACCTGCGCCGTCCTGACCAGGGCCTCGCCCGGGGTGCTGCCGCCCGGTTACGTCCTGACGACCTCACCGCCGTTGGCGGATCAGCCTGCCGAGGATAGCGAGTTCGATTGCCGCGTCAAGACGTCGAGCACGGTCTCCCAGTGGAGTCCAGAGCAGAAGAACTGGTGCTGCGAGAACGCCAACGTGGGCTGCCCCCTGTTCAACTGCACCGAAGGGGAGCCCGCCGCGTGGAGTGCAGACCAGAAGGCCTTCTGCTGCGAGACCGCGCAGAAGGGCTGCGAGGGCGACAGCCTGCCCGCGGGCGCCCAGGGCGGGCTGGACCAGCCAGCGGCAGACAACGAGAGCGGCATGGCCCCCAGCACCCCGCCGCCGACGTTCGACGTGGAAGTCTGTTCCGAGACGCACGAGGACCGGGGCGGGACCTAAACGGTGCTTTTGGCGATTTCGTCGGCCGTTTTCGTTTCGATATCGTTTTGCGGGAAAGGCGGATTCGAGTCAAAAGCGAGGGAAAACGAAACACAAAACGAAAGCGAAAAACACCCTTTAGGTTCAGCCCTGACGAGGACTGCTCGACCACGAAGTGTTGTAAGGACCCCGGGCGGTTCTGTTACGGGAAGAATGGCGGCGCGGCGGGCTGCCTGACGACATGCGTGGAGGGCATGACTGGAGCGGACGAGGACCAGCCGTGGTCGTGCACGCTGGTCGAAGAGTTCAACTGTAGACACGACGATTACACCCTGGACTCGTACGAGAAGAAGCTGGACTACTGCTGCACGCTACACGGCATGGGATGCAACGCCCCGCCGCACGCGTCACCGCCGCCGCTCGCCAACGGCATCGCCAACGGCAGCACCAACGGCAGCGCCAATACGACGGTGGACGCTCCGCCCGCGCCGCCGCCGCTCGCCGACTCACCGCCGCCGCTCGCCGACGGCAGCGCCTCTGGCAGCTCCAACGGCAGCGCCAACGGCAGCGCCAATGCAACGGTGAATGCCCCGCTGGTGCCGCCAGCCGCGCCGTCGGCCCCGCCCCCGCTCGACGAGGGCAGCGCCAACGGCAGCGCGACGATTGACGCGCCAGTGCCGCCTGCCGCGGGCGGCTCCGACCCCAGCGCGTTACCGCCGCCGCTCGCCGACGGCAGCGCCTCTGGCAGCTCCAACGGCAGCGCCAACGGCAGCGCGACGGTGGACGCAGCGACTGTGCCGCCGGCCGCGCCGCCCCCGCTCGACGAGGGCAGCGCCAGCGGCAGCGCGACGGAGGATGCGCCAGTGCCGCCGGCTGCGGGCGGCTCCGACCCCAGCGCGTTACCGCCGCCGCCACCGCTCGCCGACGGCAGCGCTTCTGGCAGCTCCAACGGCAGCGCCAACAGCAGCGCGACGGGGGACGCCCCGCTGGTGCCACCAGCCGCGGGCGGCGCTCCCCTCGCCATGCAGCCGCCGCAGCTGGTCGCCAACAGCAGCGCCAGCGAAAGCGGGGTGGCGGAAGGCACGCCAGTGCCTCCTCCTTCCTCCTCCTCCTCCTCTTCCTCCTCCTCCTCCTCCTCCTCCTCCTGCTCCTTCTCCTCCTCCTCCTCCTCCTCCTCCTCCTCCTCCTCCTCCTCCTCCTCCTCCTCCTCACTGACCCCAGGCGGCGCCCGCCCCCTTACGCCGCCGCCGCCGCTCGCCACCGACAGCGCCAACAGCAGCGCGACGGCGGACGCCCCGCCGATGCCGCTGGCCGGGAGTCCCGGGAGCGGCGCCCCCAGCAGTACCACAGGAGGCAGCGCGACCTCCACCGCAGCTGGCAGCACAGAGAGTGTGACAGGCGGGGCAGTCTTGCAGCCGGCGGAGACCCCGTCGGCGGTGCCCTCCGACGTCACGGACGGCAAGCGGCGGCTCGGGCAGCTGCGCGGAGCAGCGGCAGGCGCTAGCGCGTCCGAGGACCACTCCGCTATGTAGCTAGGCATCCATCCACATCAATTGTTTACAGGCTCCCTTTGCGCCTCCCTTGCGAACAGTGAGGGTGAGGCGGGGGGCGATCAGAGTCTTCGAACCCGATGTTTTGCTCTGCACATGTATAGGCCGTGCCGCGACTCGACGCCCGACTCTTGGATGACGGAGCGAGCCGTCACGATGTAGCCAGTCTAGTTATAGAACTCGAAGCAGCGAGAGGATTGTTGTTGGGGAGCGGCTCAGCGTGCGTCACCTTTGGCGGAGGCATCGTCGCCACCTCGCATGGATCGCACGCTGTATCGTGCCAAGACCAACTGCACACTCTGCCTGGGGTCGACCATCCCATGGCACGCGTTTTGACAAAAAACAAAAACGGCACGACAGCTTGACCAGCCGACCCGAACGTAACACGCCAGGTGCTTGCGCAACAACAGTGTTTCCGGATCGTGTCCAGTGGGCACAAAATAAGCATATCGCCAAGGACTTCCGGAACAAACTATCGAATGATCTTCAGCCCATCCCGCTGCTGTGCCTGTGTTGTGGGTATGAAGCCTATTGGGTGTTCGTTGGGATCTCGTGAGGGGCCTCCCGGGAGCCTCTTGGAGGCGCTTGGGGGCCGTTTTGGGGTCTCGTGGGACCTCTTTTGGTCCTCTTGGGGCCTCTGGGGGGCGTCTGGGGGCCTCCTGGGGGCCTCTTGGGGCGGTAGGTTCGGATTTTCGGTTCGCCTTCTTGGGCCGCTTTTGGGGCCGTCTTGGGGCCCTCTTGGGCGGTCTTGGGCGCCTTTGGGCCGTCTTGGGGCGCTCTTAGTGGGGCCCTCTTGAAGGCCTCTTGGGCCGTCTTGGGATGGTCTTACGGGGCCTCTTGGGCCGTCTTGGAGCGTCGGGAAGCAGAAAGGTAAGAACGCCCAAACCTTTCAACAACCATCGACAAATCCTTGGCTTTTGCATCTTGGGGCCCTCTTGGGAGACCCCATGGAGGCCTCTTGGGGCGTCACGGAGGCCATGTGGAGGCCACCTTGGGCCTCTCGGGGCCCTCATGGCCCGTTTTGGGGGCCTTCTTGGGCCCGAAAAAACCATGCGAGAGGATGCGCAGGACCCCGTGGGGGCACGCGAGAAGCCCCGAGAGATTTGAGAGCGAGGGGCCCGGGGTCCCGTAACGAATCCTCAGGGGTGAGGAGTGAGGCCCAGAGGATTCGGCAGAACACCCGGGGGCACGCCCACTCCCTGCCCCGGGGGCGCGGTGGCGGAGGTACGAGAGGAGTGCTCTCCAGCTGGCTCGAACGCCTGCCGATTCTGGGGTGCTGGTGCACGAGCGTGATTTCGGACCACATTCGGAGGGCACCAACTATACACCAACACCGATCCTGGCCCAGGATCACCCTGGGCCCAGGATCGGTGTATATGCCTTCTTGCGCAAGGCAGGAGGGCGTATACACCGATCCTGGGCCCAGGGTGATCCTGGCCAGGATCGGTGTTGGTGTATAGTTGGTGCCTTCCTACACATCCGGGAGACCGATCAAGGAGCAACCCACTTGGAGCCCCCCGGGCAACAACGTGTTCGCATCCGTCAGGTGGTTCGCTCGCGGCCCTGACGGGGAATGCGCACTTCCGGAATTAGCCGCGCAGATGCTTTTGCCATGCCGCCAGCGGGCGCGATCATTGGCGCATCGCCCAGGGCTTCTCCATCAACCGCATTTTTCTTATCCGTCGCAGCAGGCCTGACCGCGAGCCCATTGCTGGGGAGACCAAAATGTACCAATACCGCCACTCCCCGGACCTCTCCCGGGGTGCGTTCTGACATTTCGAGGCGTTTCCAGCGGTGGCGACGATGGCCTCCCAGGAGGCCCAAGAAGGGGAAACCGAGGAGGTAGGGGTAGCGATGCGGGCACCTTTTCCCCCTTGGAACTGCCTGGGCGTTCGTGCACGGGGAGCGCGTTCGGGGGCCCTTTGGGTGATGCGGCTGCGCTTGCGCTCCCACGGCTTCCGTGTCGCCACGCGCTTCCAGCCGTGATGTGCTGCGTCCGCGCCGAGCCTCGCCGAACGGACGGAGCTCTCGGAGCACCGGTGTGCTGCCTGTCCGATGCGCGAGGAGGAGGAGGAGGAGGAGGAGGAGGAGGAGGAGGAGGAGGAGGAGGAGGAGAATGCACAGCCACAGAAAATGGAGGAGGAGGAGGAGGAGGAGGAGGAGGAGGAGGAGGGGAGTGATGAGGGGGAGAATGCACAGCCACAGAAAATGGAGGAGGAGGAGGAGAAGGAGGAGGACAATAATCGGTAAGCGCTTGGTTTTGATAGGTTCTTGATGGCTGGAGCTCGGGATGCTGATGGGGGGGTAGACTACATGCCTTTATGTTTGTCAGCGTGGACCCCTGTCAGTAAGACTTTGCATTGTGGACGTGCAAGCTAAATAGTGCAAACTATGTATATTTACATCATTTATGCATGTAAGTACATAAGTATATATATGTATACACATAGACACACATATATACACACACACACACACTTATTCATACAGTTTTATAAGGCCGGGGACGCGGAAAAGCCTCCCCCCCTCACTCCTAACGAATTTGGCCTTCCCCGGGCCTCCGGGCAACCCGTCAGACGACCTGGGAGAACCTCACGAGAGCCCGAAGACGGCCCCGGACGGATTCCAGGCGTTCGGGCGCGCCCGCGAAACGACCCCAGAGAGCCCCAATACGGACCACGACGACCCCCAAGAAGCCGTTATACCCCCGAAGATCGCTCCAAAACGTCCCAAGAGGCTTCCAAGAGCACTCCCAAGAAGGCCCCAAGAGGCAAAAATCTTTGATTTTCTGAGGGTTTCTGGTGAATTGTGGGGTTCTCCTCTTTTCGGCTTCCCGACGCTCCAAGACGGCGGTCTTCTGGGCGTCCAAAGCCGCCTGGGAGGCTCCAAAATCAATCATCCGAAAGGGTTTCCAGGCAGTCCAAGAGAGCCCCAAAACGGCACAACAGGGGTCCGAGATGGCCCTGAGAGAGCCCCATGGCGGCCCAAGATGGCCCCAAGACACCCTCCGAAGCATTTTAAATAGTGACCCGGTCGTTCATGGAGACCGCGGTTGGAGGCAGGGTGGCCCGAGGAAGCCCCCAGAGGCCCCCAGAAGACGCCCAGGAGGCCTCCAGAAGGCCTCAAGAAAGCTTGAAAAACTTGTGTGAGGCCCTCAGAGGCTCTCCCAAGAGGAGCCTTCGCAAAAAGAGCTGAGGAGGACGGGGAGAATGCGCAGGGTAGGGCGAGAATAAGAAAAAATAAGCACTGAGGAAGGATAACGAATAACACTATCAGAACGGCGATGCCAGAAAAGGCAACACGGAGTTATCGCTAAATTGTCGGCTTGATTTTCTTGCCATTCCGCCTGCATGCCAAACTTCAAGGACCAAGGTGCATGGCGCGAAGCGCCACTGCAGACTTGTATATGTGTGTACAGATATAGATATGTATACACATGTATTCCTTCTACCTATGAAATTACAAGGGAAAGCCCGGCATGTCACCGTCACCCCCCATCCCCCCGGGCACCCGCACACGAACCCAAGACCCCTCCCCTGGCGCCTCGAAGAGGCCTCAAGACGGCCAAAGAGGTCTCCAAGATGGCCCCAGGAGGCCCCCAAGATCGTCCAACGGGGGCCCCGAGACGCACAAAGATCGCTCCACGACGCCCAAGATAGTCCCAATATGGCCCAACACGCTTCCAAGACGCCCCAAGAGGCGTCCAGGAGGCTTCCCAAGAGGGCATCAAGAGGCAAAAATGGTTGGTTTTTGCCGAAGGTTGTTGAAGGTTTCTTTGGGTCTCGCCTTTTCGGTTTCCCGACGCTCCAAGACAGCCCGAGAGGCCACCCAAGATCGCCCCAAGACCGCCCAAGAGGCCCCCGAAACAGCCCCAAAACCGCCCAAACGGGCCCCAAGACAGCCCAAGCGGCTTCTAAGACGGCCCAAAGGGGCTCCAAGACGGCTCTAAGAGAGAGCCCAGACGGGGGATCCGAACGGATTTTTCGGGCCTTCGGCCCCAAGAGGCCCCAAGGAGGCCCCAAGAAAGGCCCTGGAGGTCCCGAAGAGGCTCCCGAGACTCCCAAGAGGCCCCCGAGCGGTCCCCAAGAGCCCCCCGGCCCCCAACAGGCGCCGAACCGGGCCCCCAGAGGCTTCCGAGCTTCCAGGAGGCCTCCAAGAAACCTGCCCCCAAGGTCCTCAAGAGAGCCACGAGGCGCACAAATATCGCTCCACGACGCCCACCATTGTCTCAATACGGCCCAAGACACCTCCAAGACGCCCCAAGAGGCGTCCGAGAGGCTTCCCTAGAGTGCCCCAAGAGGCAAAAATGGTTGTTTGTTTTCGTAGGTTCTTGAAGGTTTCTTTGGGTCTCGCCTTTTCGCCTTCCCGACGCTCCAAGACAGCCCAAGAGGCCCCCAAGATCGCCCCAAGCCCGCCGAAGAAACCCCCGAAACAGGCCTCAGACGGCCCCAACGGGCACCAAGACAGCCCAAGAGGCCTCCAAAACGGCCCGAAGGGGCTCCAAGACGGCTCTAGGAGAGAGCCCAGACAGGCAATCCGAACGGACTTTTCGAGCCCTCGGCCCCAAGAAAAGCCTTGGAGGTCACCCAGAGGCTCCCAGAGGCCCCCTCGAGCCCCCCAAGCAGCTCCCGAGCGATCCCCAAGAGCCCCCCAAACGGCCCCCAACAGGCACCGAACCGGGCCCCATGAGCCTTCCAAATTCCTTCCAGGAGGCCCCCAAGAGACTTGCCACGAGCTCAGAACGAACTGTCCAGATGCTCCCATGAGGAGCCCCGGACGCCTCCAGGACAGCGTCAAGCGCACTCCAAGGCCTCCCAAGATGGCTCCACAACGACCCCGGATGGCCAGTTGTCGTCGCCGAGTTCGTTCGTCGTCGTCGTCGTCGTCGTCGTCGTCGTCGTCGTCGTCGTCGTCGTCGTCGTCGTCGTCGTCGCCGCCGTCGTCGTCGTCGTCGTCGTCGTCGTGGTCGTCGTCGTCGTCGT